GCCCCTCGCCTAGGTCCCGGAATCTGATTTCTGTAGCTCCTGCCGGTGCAGATCCCAGGGCTGGACGACCGACTGGGCTTAGAATGTCAAGTGTTATCCCTGCCCAGCCACCCTGGATACGCCTCAGCTTCAAAACCTCGAATTCCTGTTAGAACAGTCCATTACCGGAGTCTACCTGACAGTGTATAAAGCTCAGCTCTCAAAACTTTTAATGCAGTTGTAGCTCCAACCACATTTCCCTCTCTCACTTCACAGGTTTCTCCAGAACTCAGGCTGGAATTGGACTATAACTCACCCACAAATGGATGAGACAACTCAGCAGCCCAGTGATTCTCCACCTAGAGCTAATGACAGTTCTCTAAATTAATCCATTAGAAACCAGGATAGATGACCAAAGCGAACTCCTGCGATGTGCACACAGGGTACAGGCTGACACTCGGTCACAGTAACCCTAACCATTCTGTGCTGTGCTAGTCTGACCTGGCTCCTGTCTTTCAATGCTCAGAGCCTGGCCCTCTACAACCTGCAATAGCAGCAACAGATAGGCAGGGCCTGAGCTGGGGATAAACCCAACTCGCATGACAGGCTTCACTGCCTTTCTCCACACTGCCTAAACCCTAATAACAAACCTGCTCAGGGTGTGATAATCACCTTACCGTTTAGGTAGCAGAAAGCTGGTAGCTGGGATTCCTTGCTCACCAGGCCACCTTATGACAATCTTTTGGGACATTTAGAGAGACTATTCTTTCATCTCCCTCAAAGAATGTAAGGCATTTGAAAAAATTTACATAACAGTTGACACATCATCTTTCTTTTCTCTATGTAGACTTTCCTACAGGGAAGGGAATGTGACGGATTAACGTGTGCCCTCGTCTGGCGCAGAAGTCAGTTTCCCCAAATCTAACTGGATCTAGGTCAACACTGTCCAGCAGAACCCTCGGCAACGGTACAAATAAAAGTTCTATTATCTGTGCTGTCAGATACAGTAAATGTGCAGCTGCTGAGCACTAGAAATGTGACCAGTGTAAATGAAAAACTGAACTACTTAATTTCAATAAATTTAAATTGCCACACGTAGCTAGAAGCTATCACATCTGACAGTGCAGCTCTGGGTGAACTAGCTAAACGCATCTTCATAACTTGCAATGTTGAGAACCAAATACAGGGTTGTGATGACCCCAGGGTGACCCACCTTCACAGCCTTGCTTTAAGGAGCCAACCATCACCCTCTTTGCTCTCATCTCTTAACACGCAACATGTATCTCTTTCCTAAAATAAAAATGCCATGTAAGGATTTAGAATGTTAAACTTCCCAGGACTTAATGGAGAGAGGCAAGAGGAAATTTTTCTTATTTTAAAACAAATAACGACAGGGCCAGCCTGGTGGCACAGCAGTTAAGTTCGTGCGTTCCGCTTCAGCAGCCAGGGGTTTGCTGGTTTGGACCCTGGGTGCAGACCTACTCACTGCTCATCAAGCCATGCTGAGGCAGCGTCCCACATAGAAGAACTAGAAGGACCTACAACCAGGATATACAATTATGTACTGGGGCTTTAGGGAGAAAAAAAGAAAAGAGGAAAATTGGCAACAGATGTTAGCTCAGGGCCAAGCTTCCTCAAAAAAAAAAAAACCCACAAATAACAGGCAAACATTTAGCGTACAAAAGCTTAAAATAAAAATGCCCTAAAACAGACTCTAATATTCAAAGGAATTTAATATATAATAAAGGTAGTATTACAAATCAGCAGAGAGAAAAACGACTGGCCACAAATGGTGGTGTGGAAAATTTAGTTAACTGTTTGGGGAAAAAAACTGAGTTGTCAACCTCAGCAAGAGGAAAGGTTTTCAACAATAAAAATACACACATACAAAAAAACTCTGGACGTCAAAAAACACCACCACACACACACACACACAAAAAGGCTGGGAGCAAATTATTTGCAATAAAGGAGAGATGAACTAAAGATTAATATTCCTAATATATAAAAAACTCTTATAAATTAGTAAGAAAAAAGTTCAAAAAATAGTCAAAGAACATGAAAAGATAGAATCAGGAAAAAACACATCAACTTCACTAATAGCAAAGGAATGCACATTAAAATAATAATATATCACTTTTCACCTGTTCAAATGGTAAAAATAAATATAATACCCAGTGCAGGTAAGGATGTTGACATTTTCATACACTGCTTGAAAGTATTTTCATACATTGCAAATTGGCAATACATATTCTTTAAAATAGTTATATCTTTTAATCCAGGAATTCTGTCAAATGTCAATCTCCTACAGAAATAATCAGGGATGTGAACAAAGATTTACAAAAATCTTCATCAACAGCATTTATAAGAAGAAGAAATTAGAAATGACAAGATCCAACCACAGGGGATTAGTAAAATAAGTCATGGCTCATCTGTACAATAGAAAGTTATGAATTCATTAAATGTTTCTAAGGCTATTTAATGACATGGAAAAATA